TAATGGACCGCCACACGCATAGTGCATCACTACAGTGGTAAAAATTTTTGGCAAACTACAAAATTCCATCCCCCTCCCCTCCTTTTTTTTCTTCTTATGTTAAAAATAAAATAAAATTATGATCCATAGGGACCATTAACTGTAGTCTGGAAGAAGAAATAAAATATAATAAAAATTAAGTGAAGTGCGATGTGACAATATGCGCCTCAAGCATCATCGCCCTCGTGTGTGCATATGCATTATACACTACTTTTGCTCCATATGGGCATAATCTTCAAACTTTCCCAAACAAGCTATAAAAACCCATATTTGCGGCTACTCGAGAAACCCTTGGACCTTCACCTCAAACTCCAATTGTTGAAGGATTGAGAACCCTAGAACACTCCTAATCTATAAGGCGTTATTCATTATAAAACAAGAGAAGGATATGGGGCTTCTAAAAGGCTCTAATATTGATCGATCTGTCATTCATTAGGCTCTATATCCTGTTTTTCTTTGTTTTAGGGAGATTTATTTTAGAGAGAGAATGATCTTGGAGATTTTTGGATCCTTACCCATTTAAAAATATAGGTAATTGACTTGCAGCTTCACAAACTCACCCTTGAGATTGTTTTAGGCATTACTAGGAAGGTATTTGGGCTAATTTACCCCAAAAAAAGTCATTTGGGCTAAGATTCACGAACTACAAGAAATCGAAATTTCTTTTGATTGTTTGATAAGTTGTCATTTTCATCCTTTTTGTATTTTTTCTTCCTGGGGGGTAGTCTCCATCGTCATCAAGTAACAAGGATCCAACCTGGAAATATGCTGAATTCAACTCTGATCAAAAGGGAGTTATTTGTTACTTGAGAATTGACTTTCTTCAATTTTATATGTCATAAGCTTTTGGTCTTTCCCTCTTTGGAGTTTAAACTTTAAATTTTGGATGTTTATTTGAAGTTTGGATGTGGATATCATTATGAGATAGAATGGTTTGCTTTGTTTTACATGTTAATTGCATTAGACATTTAAAGTGTTAAAGATTAGAAGTAAGGACAACAAACTCTATAAATTGTTATTAGGTTATTGGGGGTATAGACTATCAAACAACTAGTATATTAGAGATAATGAATAAATTACAATACCTACTACCACATAAATCATATTTATGTTTTTTCTTTGCGTTATTACATATGATTTTATAAATTTTTTAATTTTTTAAATTTGTTAACTGCGTGGTAAGTGATGTTCCTGCATAGGGACCACATCAAGCCGCATTCACCACCTAGGACCCCCGCCAATATTACCATCCTAGTCCATAGTCCATACCCTTCAACCTTTGAGATGCCAATCTTAAATGATTCTTAAGAACCCTCTAATAAGCTTAAAAAATCTATAAATCAAAATACAAACCAAAAAAATAATGTTCGGACCAATTTTTCAAAACTTTGAATTAACCTGTCAATCTAACAGGAAAGCAAGAATGTGTATTTTTCTTGTTTTTTTGCACTCTAATATGTAAAAAAAAGGTTTAGGACACATAGAAACCTAAACCATCCCCACCCCAAAATTGCCCCATGTGGATGAGGCATTTTTGTGGTGGGCATAGTCCTTGGGCGCCCGCCCATGGACCCAGTGCTCAGGAGGCCTGCCTAGGCCTGTGAGCATTGCGCAGGTCCCCTTGGCCCGCCTAGGCAGCTGTTTTTTGGATCTATGAACCCCCGCCCACATCGTGTCTGCATCCCATATTTTAAAACATTACTACCTATTAAGGATTGAGGTCTTGAGGTGCACAGGATCCAGATTCACTAGCATTATAATATAGTATAGTATATAATGTGGTGCAGCGTAGTATATATGTTAGTATATGCTATATAAGTATAGTATATATTGCATAGTTGTATACATAAGATTTAAATACAGAGTACCATACAGTACAATAGTGTAGTAGAATCTAGCATATAGTATAGTAGTATAATATAGCATAGCAGTGTAATATTGTATAGCAGTATGCTATATTGTAGTAGATACACTATAGAACTATAGTAGTTGAGTGCTATCGGGGGCCTAGATTTTTACCAAGCACCCCCATACATCGGGATCAAGATCCCTAGATTTTTGGATGGCCTATGATCCCTCCCATTGATCCCTAGATTTCAGGGTGGCCTATGATCCCTACCACAGGGAGCCATCTACTTGTCATGATCACACGATCCCAATTCCGATACGGGTCTGATTAGATTCTGATCGTGATCACCATGTGGCAGTTAATAGAGCTCTATATTTCCATCCTGTTCCTAGTCATCACTGTCTACTGCCTAGAACAACCAGTTGCTTAGTATAGGCTAGTGCCATTTCAAAGTTGGCCTTACTCCATTTGAAAGATACTCCACTATTATGTGTGAACAATATTTTAGGTGCCCCATCCCACTTCCAGCAAGTCGCCTGTTGCATGAACACAGTTTTCTTCTAAAGGCATGCAACCTCCACATGTAATACATTGTTGACTTGAATGTTCGTGAGGCTCAAGCTTTTTCCAAGTTTTTCACCCACTACTGCGGGAGGGCATTTCAATAATGTGGTGATATTCACTAAATCATAATACTTATCAACGGTCATTTATATGTATGATTGAAAAATAAATCATCATCATCATCATCATCATCTAAGCCTTATCCCAACTATTTGGGGTCGGCTATATGAATCATGTTCAACCATTCTACTCATAGGTTCAAGATTCATGACAATATTTGGCAAAGTTCTACGCTGGCTGCCCTACCTAACACAACCTGCCATTCTGCTCATATTTTATGTTTGAAAAATAAATACAAAAAGATAACTAAGCACATCGTTGGAAATATGATAATAGCCATGGACCTCGGTGATCAGGATCTAAATCATCATCATTAGATCTTTTTCCTAACTATTTGGGGTCAGCTACATGAATCCTGGTCTGCCATTTTGCTCTATCAAAGGCATTGGTCAGGATCTATAGTATGTCTTAAAAATTCGTGGACTAAAATATGAATTAGAGTGAGTTTGTACAGTACACTTGCCCCCGTTCTACATTATATGGGTGAGTTTGTACTATATGCTCACCCGAGTTCTACAATACATGGTTGACTTTGTACTATACCCTTGAGTGCTGTATTGGTACTCCACCTCCCCTAATCTGTGCATTGTACTCGCCTACGCTGGATGCCGAGGTCAAGTAACTCAGTCTAGACACTCAGTCTAGACTGAGTTGACTCGGCCAAGTTTTCAAAACACTGATAGGGATTGTTCGCTCTGTCTCACATATAATTGATGGCAGGAATCCCCTCCTTGACAGTGAGACTCATCATCACGTACCTTCACGAAGCTCCTTTTGGTACTAGAATGTAGTTCTTAGAAGTATTCGTAATGGAATGTTATATGTGGGATGAGTTTGTCTGAGTGGCATTGTAGAGTACAAAGTCACATACTATGTATTCCCCATTCAATGCAAAATCAATGGGCCTCTTTTGTCAATATATTTCATATTTTCCATAATTTTTCTATTATTCATAAATTTTGCTTCTATTTTTAATTATTTGAATTTTTACTTGAATTTTCAGGATTTTCCTAAATTTAAATGAAATTCCCCGAGCCCTTTAGTGGGCTTGGGCAGGAGTCCGGGTAGTCACTTGGATTCGCCCCGGCTGTAACGAAATCTCTGGCCTGTCTCGAGTAATTTGATCTGTGTCATAGTCCACTTTAGGTTTCAAAGTAATTCAAGAACCACCCATTATGTCGGTTTGTGCTCTGCTCTCTGGGCTTAATTACCCGAGAAAATTCTTACCTGACTTGGAGACTTTTGTTGGGTGTCAAGATGAATTAAGATGTTAAGCTTGAAGTGGATGATATGCTTGTGAATCACATCTCTTTTGGTATTCGTTTTCTTCATGGATACGATTTGGACGTGGTGCCTTGTCCACATTTCACATTCTTGACGCTTGTCTGAGTTGTGGCAAAATCAGTGAACAATTTTCATGGAATGAGCAATTCTTATGTGACTTTCTTTTATGCTCATTCTTAATAGTAGTGTGGTTCTCTTAATTGCAATCTTTATTTCTAAGCACATTTCTTTTTAACTTTGACAAAATGACTGGTTTGCAGCAGTGTTACCCCGACATTCCACCTATAGGCTGGTGTCATGTGTTGATACACTGACACATGTCGATGCCCCTAGAAATGGGTTGGATTAGTATAATATAAAATATATCAATAGACTTAAGCTAGGGGCTTGAACTTGGGTTGTATTGAACAAAAAAACCACAGTTACATACTTGCTTTTTGGGACAAGTACTAGACAGTTTAACACAAGTTAGGCACCGACATGAGTATCAATGTTTCATGTAAAAGTGGTTTGCAGCAAAGGAGTGGGAATTTCCTCTGTTGTTGAACAGTTGTGTAAAGCTTTATTGATGGGAGCTTTTATTTCTTCATTATATTGAAGTGTTCTATGAGCTAGATTTTCCTTTCAAACTTATGGTGGATCCAGTCTAAATGAAAATGTTCAAGTAAATAAGTAATCATTTCATGTGCGACCAGTGATTGCCTCCCAATCAGCTTAAAGTGGTTTGATCCATGTATGCACTACTAGTATTGAAGATTCCAAGTCGTCAACTCATGCTTCATTTATTATTCTTGGTGAAATTTAGGCGAAACTTGACTGCTGCTTTCGTTATTTTACAGTTTCCCTCACATATGTCCATTTGCTTTATCGTAATATTAGGGCCGTTTTGTTTTGCCATGTGACAGAGATAATCATGATTTTATCTTGTAAATTTTTTCGAGATGTAATTTTATCTTTTAATTAAGTACAGCTAGCAACTAGCTGGAACTTTTTGCATTTTCAACTTGGATGCTATATAAACCATTGAATTGTTGTTACTTCAAAACAGTTTCTGGTTTCTATTGATGATACATTTTCCTGAATTTTTCTATTTCTTTTTGTAATATATGTCCTTGATAGTAATTCTTCTATATTCTTTTTTCAGGCTTCCAGTCTGTTGGGATAAGACTGTCATCGTTGTGATGAAAGAAGTTCGTGTTGGCAGCCCATACCTCCCTGAAAATGTGAGAGGTGGAACCCCTGCGGCTAATGAAAGAGTGAAGAAAGTGGTATGAACTTCTCTAAACTACTAACAGTTAATGAATTTCTCTTCATTTTCTATATAATTATAATGGGAATTCTCATTATTGAAAGCTAATATCCATGAAATTTATCTCAACCTTTCTTTCTCTGATCTTTATCTTGTGCATGTCTAGCTTGAGTTGGAAAGGAAGAGGTTGCAATCTCGAAATGCCAGCCAGTAAACTTCCTCTTTTTCATTCTCTCATCAGATAATCTGGACAACAAATCCTGCTAACTTTTGCAGAGTATGATGGTTTATCGGCTATCACATCATCGTCATGGCATAAAGGCTAATTCACAGATGAAAGTGGGAATAGAATACCAATTTTGATGTTCCAACGTTTATTCTAGTCATGCTTTTTGTATTGTGCAATTAGGACTTTTCATGTAAACATTGACTAGCTTGGGAAGTGGGCAACTCTTTTATTGATTACATTCAATAAGTAAATTTGTACTACTACTCTCTCTCCTGCTTGATATATTACAAGGCTGACTTAGTTTTAGCGAATTCTAAAACTGATGATACCTAAGAACGACTAGCCAATTTTTCTTTCTTCGGTCTCCGGATGAGCAATGGGGGGGCATGAGGTGCTTTCTTCACTTGGTAATGTTTGCAGCTTGATTAATTCTGACCGATTATTGGGCGTGGTATGAGAGAGAGAGAGAGAGAGAGAGAGAGGATTTGGTTCGGGATTGACCGTGTTTGATGTATGGTGGATTGCTCCGTTTTCCGAAGACCAGAAGTTTCTACTATTTCAGTACTTCTTAATGTCTGGTCATGTAGACAATAGTCTGGTGTGTCATATAGATAATATGATAGCTGCAATATGGATACTCTAGATGGGGAGTAACAATAGAGCATTCAGTAGTCACAAAAGCCTGACCAGCGAAACTCATGGTCATAATCAGTGCTTGTGCTAAATCACGAAAAGAATCATGAGGTAACTCCATTGACCTAATATAAAGAGAGAATCGTGACAGCCCTGCTTAGAAACCACGATTAGGAACCCCTATTTAGGGGCTTCTTCAAGTTAAATGTTGATGGTGGTTTTTTTGAAACCTTGCCCTGTTAGAATTTAGTGATCAAAGATCATGTGAGGTGTATCCTCAACTATTCAGGAAAGTCAGGCCTACAACTGCTAATGGACAGATTGACAACAGCGGTGGCTGAAGGAGATTCACAGTAACATTACACAGTTGATCAAAGGGGACCAAACAAGCCTGAAAAACCGATTATACGGTAGAAAGATTGACATGTATATTTACTTCTAAACAATGCTTGCTATTTTTGTTTCAAACGCCAAATGGAACTTGGAAATTTATTTTCGCATCTAATTATGAAATTTGGAGCTCTAAAATTGATTCACACTTGGCGGTTCCGTGATCACTTGAAAATTGACGGTCTAGATAATATTCTACAAGATACATTATTTTTAAGGCTTGATTTTCTTTATTTGAACTCTATAATTATCTAAGTCGTGATGATCAATTAAGGATTTTTCTAGAAATACAAATTTTTCATGAGATTTGAGGTGGGGCTCTACTTGTTTTTATAAGACCTAGGCGTTATGCTAACCTTTTTCCTTATTTAATAAAAGGCCTCTTTGATACATTGGATGATTTTTTTAACAATATCTATGATTTAAGGAGGGCATCCTGAGCATTATTCGGATGCTTCCCCTTTTTTATTCCATCCATTTTTCACCTTATTTTATAGAAGGGCATTTTTCTATTTTTCTTTATTCTTATTCATAAAAATTTGAAATAAGAAAATATCATTAAAGTAGTCAAACCACCACAAACAATCAAAGATGTGGTTAAATCGATAATTTACTAATAAAGTAGTTACTTTTTTGTAAAAAAAATTAGTTCAGTACCTCAAGGCCCCAAATTTCTCGTGCTCGAGGTTTGTAGTATGAACATAGTGTATTTTGATAATTTGTCCCACTAAGTCATTTGAGCTAAATGACATATCCAAGTCCAAACATGATATATAATTTTTTAGTGAAACGTGTTCACATTTGGAACCAAAAACAAAATGAGTTCATTTTGCTAATTTGACCCTTCTAATTTAAACGAGCAAAAAGATATAGGTTATGTTTCCGGTTCCAAACTCATAATAGGATTAATTTGGTGAAATAAATACAGCCATAAGTTTGTTATTAATTATCAAAATTCACTCACTTGCTCATAGATTCAAACATGGAGCATGATAGTTTGGGGACTGTCTATAAAATGGTTGACGAGGTACCTAAATGATCAGGGACAATTTTATTTTTTTAGGTTTCAGGGGTCCTAATTTGGGGTTCTCATGGGGATTTATGAAAGTTTATGGACCTACTGTTTTTTCTTTGAAGGAGAGTTTTATTTGTGATATGCTTGTTGTTATTCACTCTGTGACTTATCCTATTGTAATTGGGGGGGATTTCAATCTCATTAGGTGGCCTGATGAATGTTTGTCAGGCCATCCAGTGGACTCATCTACGAGGAAGTTCAATAGGCTTATTGAAAGTATTACCTTTTTGGACCTACCTATTATTGGCTCAAAGTTCGCTTGGTCCAATAATAGTGTCGGCAACCTTGCTACATCAAAATTGGACAAATTTCTTATGGCTGCAGAATGGTTAGAGGCTTTCCCATTTACTTCGGTTAAATCCCTGGCGAGACTCTCCTCTGAACACAACCCCATCTTGCTTTGTACGGGACGTCTCAGTGGGGTCCTAGACCATTCAGATCGGAAGTGGGTTGGTTGGAGGACAAACAGGCGATTGATATTATTACAAGGACTCGGTTGAATATGGTGGTGGTAGGCCAGATGGAATTCCAAGTTGCTAGAATTATTGAGTGTCAAACACAAGTTGCTAGAATGGAAGGAGCATAAATTTGATGTAAAAGCTAAGATTGAGAGGGTGTTGGCTGAAGTTGAAGCTTTAGATATCTAGAATCAAAATAATGGAGTCCTTACTGAGGCTTTGGTTATTGCACGTTGTCTGAAACTAAAGGAGTTGGAGGATTTGCGAAGATTTGAAGAAGTCTATTGGAAACAGAGATAGAGAAATAAATGGCTTAAGGAAGGAGACTTCAACACTAAATGTCTTCATGCTGTTGTGAGCTCTCGGAGACAGCAAAATGATATCTCAGGCTTAAGTATCACTGACATGGGTCCCGATAATGATGAGGAGATGGGTTTGGGGGTGGTTAATCATTTTAAGAATGCATTTTCTAGGGAGGTATTTTTAAAACTCAGATTTACAAATGTCCCCTAAGGTGCTGAGTAGTGAACAAGCTTGGCTAATGGAGAGAAGTATATCCTTTGAAGAATTAAAAAAGGCGGTCTTTGTGTTGGGTGGTGATAAGGTGCCTGGTCCAAACGGGTTCCCAATGGTGTTCTTCCATACGTTTTGGCACATTATGAAGGATGATCTGCTAGCTTTGGTCAGGGAATTCTTTATCACAGGGTCTATCTTTAAAGGCATCAATTCTACCTTTGTGGCTTTAATTCATAAAAAGTGTGTGATTTATGAGCTATCTGATATTAGACCTATTAGCTTGCTTACTATTGTCTATAAGATCATAGCTAAAGTTCTAGTGGAGCGCCTTAAAGAGGTTTTAGCTCTCATCATCTCTACTTCGCAGTCGGCTTTTATTAAGGATCGTCAGATTACAGATAGTGTACTGGTAGCACAGGAATGTATTCATTCTTGAGTTATAATTAAGATAGAAGGGGTGATGTTAAAACTAGATATGGAGAACGCATATGATCGACTGGAGTGGGTGGTGATGCTAGAAATATGAAATTGATGGGGTTTGGTACGAGGTGGAGAAGTTGGATCTATGGTTGCCTTTCATCAGCACATTTCTCAGTGTTGTTCAAAGTGACTCCTACTGATTTCTTTAAGGCCTCCAAAGGACTACGGCAAGGTGATCCACTATCTCCTTTTCTGTATACCATTTATGTAGAATGTTTTAGTTTAATGTTGAGTAGGGTTGAGAGAAGTGGATCCTTTACAGGTTTCAAAATATAGCTAATTCTGATATTACTATATCTCATCTTCAATATGCTGATGATACACTCGTTTTTTGTATTGTGAAGGCAGTTCAGTTGGAAAATATTGCAATGTTCTTGGAAATTTGTGAAGTGATTCTGGTCATTAAGGTCAATTTTCATAAATCCTCCCTTATAGGCATCACTTGTGGGGTGAATTTGGGAGAAAATTTTGCTAGTGTTGTGGGTTGCCATCTGGGTTCCTTTCCTACTTTCTATTTGGGGCTACCTATCTCTGATTAAAAATTCCCTATTGCGATGTGGGATAGAGTCATTGACCAAGCTTGATTTATGGAAACCAAAATACTTATCTTTGGGAGGAAGGGTCACTTTGTTAAGATCCTGCTTGGTTAATTTTCCTGTGTATCAAATGTCCCCTATCCAAATTCCGGCTTTGGTGGGGAAGAAGATAGAAAAAATGATGAGAAATTTTTTATGGGGATCGTCTGAAGAGCATAGGAAATTCCACTTGGTGAAATGGAATAGGGTCTGTACCCCTAAACGTGAGGGTGGTCTTGGCATTCGAAATGTTACGAAATTCAATGAGGCACTTTTATATAAATGGTAGTGGCATAGTGTTAACTTAAAAGATCACCTTTAGTATCAAGTGCTGCTTGCTAAGTATGGTGTAGATAGGTATAATTTGTGGCTTCAAGGTGGCAAAGGCAAAGACATCTCCTTTATATGGAGAGCCATATCCAATTGTAGGCATATGATCTCATGCTTGCTAAGTATGGTGTAGATAGGTATAATTTGTGGCTTCAAGGTGGCAGAGGTAAAGACATCTCCTTTATATGGAGAGCCATATCCAATTGTAGGCCTATGATCTCAAGCTACTTCAGATGGAATGTTGGTAGTGGTCGACAAGCCATATTTTGGCATCATAAATAGTTGGGAGACTCCCCCTTTAAAGTGGTCTTGCCAGATCTCTTTCGTGTGGCTGCTGATTCAGACTTACTTATTGCTGAAGCCATGGAAAAGAGAGGGCAAGCTTTGCCTGGAACATCAATCTTAGCGACAGCCAGGTTATCAATGTGATTCTTTCATAATGGTGTTCTTTAATGGAGCATTTAGATAGGGTTTATATTGCGCAGGAGGCAGAGGATGAGTTAGTCTGGGAGATTGAGTGTGATGGTTTATTCTCTGTTAAATCATGTTATAACCTATTTTCCATGACTGCTTTAGATGGTCCTGCCCTGAAATTATCCAAATCTGGAAATGGCCAATCCCCCATAAGTTCAAGTTTTTCTTTGGGTTGCAGCACAAGATAAAATCTTGACCATAGATAGTCTCATGAAGAGAAAATCCTGCCAAATATCTGCTTACTTTGTAAACAAGATGGTGAATCTGTGTTGCATGTCTTGATACATTGTCCCTTCACCTCTGCTATTTGGTCTTGGTTGCTCTGTATGGATGGAAT